GGCGACGACGAAGGGGCAGTGGGGCTAGAGGAGGAGTGGGAGGGGACCGAGATCGAAGAGGAGACAGGCTAATGGAGTCGGTGCTTCTCCCACCCCAACCTACATCCGAGGACTCAGAAACTGACAGTACTATACATGAGTTTCTCTAAGAAAGGATCGCTTTGACAGGTCGGGAAACAAATGAATGTCATGCAGGGCAATGACATTGCAAGAGATAGTGATGAAGCCATTTACAAATGACCTAACTGTAAACGAACGCACTGAGACAATGATTGCTTTGACGTAACTTGCAGTTATGTTTCCAGCAGTGGTGAAGCAGTAGCTTTCAAAGTGGTCCCTCCTTGTAGTATAACTACTCGTATATACCTCTGAAACTAATCGGAACTGTTCTACTCGGAACTACCTACTTTTCCTGCATACTTTTTCATCTAAGTAAAATTATTGATTTTCTACAAACAAGATCCGCTCCAGATTTCTCAAAGACAAATTTAGCTCACCTTAAAACAAATACATACAACAAAGTATTCCGAATATCTGAAAAATGAAAACATTCTCACTACTGAATTGTTGAAGAGGATTCTAGAGAGGACACCCTCCCTCTATGTAGTAATAGAACATAGCAAATTGTACTATGTCTGAAGGTGGTGTATTACTATTCTTTAAAGTGGTTAATCCACTTCAGCAGAAAATAAAAAGAAGCTTCCCAACCACCATATTCTCAATCTAAAACCTAATACATTGAAAAAATAACCCTTAAATCCTCAACAAACCCCTTATCAACAATCCATCGATCCAGAAGTAATAATCCATCCATAACGTGTGTATTCCATCCCCTTAACGAAATAACCCATTACTGCCTAGTAAAATAAACCTTCATCCCGGTTCCGCCTAAAACCTTAATGAAATAACCCATACCCCCTCGACCAAATAACCTATCTCTCTGCAACTCACTCTCTAAACCAATCCCCGTCCTCGGATGGGGGAAGAGCACAAAAGAAAACCAGCACCAAACACCTTAAAGAAAAGCACCATAACGAAAAGCACTAAATATGGCAGAACTTACTCGTAATTAACAACGTAGAGAGCTAGATAGACACACACACACACACACACACACACACACACATATATATATATATATATATATATATATATATATAGAGAGAGAGAGAGAGAGAGAGAGAGAGTGAGAGAAGTCAGAAGTCGGTGGAGTCTATGGAGCTGATGGAACCGTTGGGGCGAGGGTGTTGAGGGGGAGGGGACGAGGAAGGCGAGGAGGCGAGGGAGGCGCGAAGTAGATCAAGTGACGAAGAGTATGAGGAACGGACGTGACGTGGTATCGAAGGACCGAGATGCGATGGGATAATGGGGTGTGGAACGACCTGTCAAGGGACAAAGGGCCAGGGGAATAGTGGAGGAGTGACAGGGTTGGGTGGGGACGAGAAGAGATGCGAAGTTGACGAGTAGATGGGCAAGGGAAAACAGGGGGATGAGGAAGATGATGAGGACAGAGGGATGAGGAAGATGATGAGGACAGAGGGATGAGGAAGATGATGAGGTCAGAAGAATGGGGACGAGGTGTACTGCACGAATTGGGAACATTACATTGCTTTTGTCAAATCATCCCCTACTTCATTCAATTATTAGGTAATTTTGGTATTACCCCTAAGTCTACCTCGTCAGTACTGGTTACCTTCAATCAACTAAGATCTTGTGTTGATTACACCTGCTACCACCGCCACGTAATAACCACTGTCTCATCTATCACCATCCGTATCTTGAATTACGTCTGAAGGTCTACGCTACGGGTGGCCAAACTCTTACAAATCGTGCGCCAGATTTTTTTACATACAAGTTCAAATGTCATATAACTCAAGTACCTTTTCCACTTTCTCACTTTCATGACTGAGGTTGGAAAATTGAATTAGGGATAGAATATGATTAACTTAGGAGTGGATAAATGAATGAAAGAATAATAATTATGCAAATAATTACCAGATCAAATGAGACACATTCGTTGGTGTAACGCTCTATTAAAATAGTAAGAGAAGATATCTTGGTCGAGATGACGATCGCCGATCATGTCGATGTTATAGATGCCGTTGTTTTACTACATGATAGAGTACTTTCCAAAAGATGCAAAACGATTTTCCTGAAGAACATTCTAAATGCAATCACTCTATTTCCACTGTTCATTAAACAGACATTTAGAGTCACATTCTGTATTTCTTTTCGTTTTTCTCTATCACACACAACAAAGAGGTAAAGGCATTAAAATGCTCTTAAGGTCTGTCGAAAAGTAACCACAAGTACATAGGCTGTGATGCACTTAATATCATGAGTAAACTTTCAACAAATTACCCCGAACTAATGTGTAAGACAATGAATTTATGAATTGAATTGAGTCTGTCTAATTTTAAAAATTTGCAGATGGATTCGGATATTCACAAAGCGCCAAGATTAAATGAATAAGCAGGAACAGAGATGCAATGCGCCACTAGTAATCATCTAAAGCGCCAATTTTGAGGCAAGCACCACTGTTGGCAATCCTTTGTCTACGCATCGCAGTTCTGATTGACTAATGCAACCTTACTTAATCTCACCGCTTTCCATTCAAGTTTAATGTTTTATTTTCTTTGGAGGAAGAGGATAGGTTGAACGAGCGCTCAGTACAACATAAGATCTCGCTATGCTGCTATTACAGAACTACAGAATCTAGAAGCCGAAGAGATCATGCTTTCAAAGCATAACTGTTGGGAATCGTTCGAGAGTGAAAATAGCTTCTAGAAAAAATAGAAAAAATACTTTCGGAGATCTATTCATAGACGTGTCGATAAAAATGTCCGTTCTTTGATTTGGCCCATTAGCACCTCCTTGAGTGCCCCCGAAGGTCATTTCTTCTTGTATATTTACAAGTTCAAACCGCGTCATGGCAACGATTGCGCTCTCGTGAATGTGTTTGACGTGCCTTTCAGGTGTTTCGATGTAGGCCTGCGTCAAAAATTCAAATTACATCATCTACGCACGTCAACATTTCCCGAGGCAGTGCCGTAATGTAAGACTGAACGTCCTTTCAAACTTAAAGACGACTAATTCTAGAAGAGTTTTCAATTCTTGTTGCGGTGGTCGCATTAATGACGTTCTAAGACCTTTGATCAGTAGGGTTGTGCGCAGACAATATTATATTACACAAGATAACATGTCCAAATTTTGGTTCATTAAAAATAATTGTAGACAATGGATACGCTAATAAATAAAGCCGGGTTAGTGGGTGTTTTGTCATCTCTTGCTGCGCTTGATGTGTATTCAAAAGAATCTATATTATTAGTTTCTGATTCGCACAGAAATTGAAAGAAAACTACGCAGCTTCTGAACTTGTGATAGGGCTCGGAAAAAATAAGATTTACATTAAAAACATGAAACCGTTTCGATTTTAACTGAAAAATGCAGACATTTGATTGTGTTATTCCGATTATTCTCATACTGCCTGCACCTATCACTTACTCAGTGTGTCACTGGATACGACAGAGCCAACATACGAGCCGACAGAGCAAACATTCGTAATGCGACATCAAAAATGCAAGGAAGAGACAATCCGTCATTAAATATTTATCATTCGTAGGTTGCTGTACGGAAAAGCAATTTTGTTGATATTCTTGGAATGTAAATAACTATCATTTTCAATCATGAGACTATACAATGAGTTCTATTGGAAAATTTTGAGACGTGTTGAAAAATTTATTGAACAAAAATTATCTTCTGGTATCTTTCCAAAATTGCTCGCATAAGCGACTTTTACTTTACGTATATTTTACTTGTATTACATTAATTATAACTACCCCAACTTGGGGGACGTCGACAGTATTGCGCCTATATATGCCATCGTAAGGGGCAATGACAACACCCATTGATGTAAAATGACAGAGTTTATCAAGCCAGATTCAAATTCATAAAATACGCAAACAACAATCTTAATATTTATTTATTTATTTATTTATTTATTTATTTATTTATTTATTTATTTATTTATTTATTTATTTAATCTCTAGTTCTCCCAAAGGCAATGCGCCACTCACTTGTAGGTCTCGTCCGTGTTGGTGAGCAGCACCTCGGGCGGCGTGTAGGGCAGCCACTCGTTGCGGCGCCGCACCAGCGTGCTCACGCGCCGCGTCTCGCCGAAGTCGCACAGCTTGACGCGGGAGAAGTCGGAGCGCAGCACTAACACGTTGTCCAGCTTCACGTCGCGGTGCACCAGGTCGCGCGTGTGCATGTGCTCCAGCGCCGACGCCAGCTGCGCAAGCAACCAACCCCCGCCCCCGAGCGGTCAAAGCCTCGTCTCCACGGGGGTATCTTTGTAATGACTTAATTGGAAAAATCTTAAACAATGGTAAAGTTATCTCTAAAAATATTAAATTATTATTTTAATTAAATCATTCAAATTATATGAATTTTACTTTCTTGCATGCTACATACGTAGAATACAGAAAGTATTGTAATGCTGCAGCGGAAAATGACGAATTTTTACTGAAAAAGTTATTCTTGTACGTACATCAAGTTAATAACGCCCTCTAATAGGCGGTATAGTCAGAATCCGTCTCGTGGAGTATTGTTTATTTAAATTTTAGCTGGTGATACCCCTGCAATGGGGTCAATCGGAGCAGACCGCTCCGTCTGACCTCCTCTTTACGCAGTTGACCTGGGATTTGTGGCAGGAGTATAGGGGTTCGTAAACAAACAACCATGATATTATTTAAACAAGAAATGACTTCACGAGGAGTTTTTTCTAGAAATTGAAAACCTGATTATTCTCGTCAAGAAGATGAAGAATATATTATTTTTAATGATTCCAATTCTCTAATAATTATTTAATGAATAGTTGATTATGATATAAATTAAAATGAAACATCGGCGGAAAGAGAGGCAGGGCAAACGGGAGAACAACTAGATAACCTGTCACGAACCCAAATTTAGCACCAATAATTCCACGTGTAGCATCTTGGATTTCAATGCTGCAACTTAGCGTTGTAAGGATAGTTGGCTCTCCACAACGCTCACAAACCAAAGAACATTGGGGAGGGCGAGGGAGGGGTTTGAGGACGATTGCCGCATTAGGGAGGGGCATATCTCGTTCAATGACTTCATTGTATCGAAATTCTCACTTTGGAAAGCACGAAGCATGGGACGGCCTATCCGGTGGTCGAGATTGCTAAGGCAGTAGTGCGGTAGCGATCTGGGGGCCGAAGGAGGTTCGAGTCCCACCTAGCGTATGGTTGTATTTGTGTTCGTCCTTTGAAACCCCATCACCATATAATTCTCATCCAGTTCACAGTTACCCATAAAGTTAAAAACAATAGTCGTCGCTAATGATCTAGAAGTTGATGCGACCTTAAATCACAAAAAAACAAGTTTGGGACAATCTTACGTTCGCCGGGAGACGCATACCAGCGCTGCCGTCGATGTTGAAGGCATCGGATTCTAATCATAGCGTACGTGAGTGGTACGTTGTAATTAAGTGACAATTAACTTGTTATTAGCTGTTTTCATAATAATGAGTTGCCATGAAACGTGCATTTACTGTTTCGAATAAGTTGTGAAAGCGTGTTCACGATTACTTCTACGTACTAGCTTCAGGGGTACTGCAAGCGCACTCCACCCAAAGGAAGCGATATGAAACTTCGTATTATCTGCGTACATTTTCTTGAACCATCTTGGCGTTGGATGCGAGAGGAGTGTGGGGTTGGCTTTTGGACAACGGGACTATTATGTCAAATTCGTAGCTCGCTTTTCGATGTTGAATAGCTTCTATTCCACGGTATCTAACATTTCTCTGCTTTTGTTTACTATGCTCGTTCTTAGCATTTATTATTAATTAATAATAGTGTCCCGGATAGCCGAGGTCGCTAGGGATGAAGGGCCGTAGCAATCTCGTGCCTGAAGGGTCGCGGGTTCGATTCCCGAACGCGGCATCGATGTTTTTGTGTGTCCATTTATCGTTACCGTTACGCCCAATGTTACTTATAATGGTCGTTATTAGAAGTTGAAAAGCAACATTAAATACGTAAAAAAAAGTAGGGTTAGTAAAGAGTAGGGGTTGGTATTCCGGAGTTCTTGAAAAGGTGCATATCCATAGCATTACGTGTAAGGGAAGATCATGCGACGCGAGAACCCCATGTGTTTGCGTCGTGGGCTCCGCTGCGAGCAGCGCCGTGACTGACCTGCCGCGCCACGCGCTTGCTGTGCGTCTCGCCGATGCCGGTCTCGGAGACGTTGGAGGTGAGGTCCCCGAGGGGCGCGTACTCCTGCGCGAACACGTAGAAGCCGGCCGTCTCGAAGGCGACGTCGTACGTGGTGATGATGTTGCGGTGCGCCGCCAGGTGCAGGCCGTAGTGGAACTCGCGGTAGAAGTCGCGCAGGGCCGTGTACTGCTTGGGCAGCGCCTTCAGCACCATCTCGGTGTCGGTGTGGCGGTGCTCCGCCAGCAGGATCTTGCCGAACCAGCCCTCGCCCACGATCTGCAGGATGTCGAACTCGTCCGAGAGGCACACCTGCGCATGAGGACGGGGTGTTGAGGCCTTCGCGCCGGAAAGCAGAGGAAGGTGCTGAATAGTGGAATTTGGGGGACTTCCTTGTTGGCAAGGTCAGTACGTTTGTGCTATTCAATAGAACATTGCTTGTCAGACAGTTCAGAAATATTATTATTGGCTGAACATGCATTTAGATGTCATTCTTAACATTTGTGAACATCTAGATATTTTCGTCCCTATAATTGTAATGAATATGTACATATGAAAATAAACGTATATACGAGATCAATAAAGTAATAAAAAATAAAATAAAAGAAAATTGATAGAATGATTGGGTTGTAGGTCATCCAACAAAGTGGTGTAGTTCTTCCATGCGAGAATATTATGTAGTTCATCAAAACTATCCAAAACCAGGGAAAGATTTTAAAATTATCAAGGACCGAATACTGAAAAATCATCCATTCGTAGATATCCACGGCGACTCCCGGGTAGCTAACGATCATCTATTGACTTCAGCCGCTGAAGACTACGTTTTTATCCAGTATTACGCAAGTGCCTTGACTATTCCTCATTTGCAGTTTTTAAAATATAATATTCATCTCATAGCTATCCATGAATTAAAATAATTAATTACAACTTGCCGGAACCCTGAAAAAACTCCGTACTTTATAAATAATTATTTTAAAAATAAAAATTACTTCTTAGAAGAAGACTTCGAACGGCGAGCTCATTTGCACTATTGGTAAGGCCAATACTGTGTGAAAATAACTTAATATTGATACGCGTTGAGATAAAGCTGTTCAGAAAATCAAAGTCTCTTCGATTTTATTGTAAAATATTATTTATGCTTCTTTACTTCAATTTAATTTTCTATAGATTTCGGGTTTCTTCACTTCTCTGACCTCTGGAACAAAATGAATCCAAAAGCACTGCAACTCTTTTAAAATGTAATAATGTTAAAAAAGATCTCACTTTGAAACATATTGCTTAAGAAACTTTATTCGGGCCCCCGCTGTCCCCCTTCAATTCCCATATTCCTTAATGTATCTCTCATCTTTCCCCCCTTGTCTCCAACACATACTCCACCTCGCCCAAAACTCGTGTTCCCACAGAACTCACGTGACCCCACCTGACCCCTCATAACTTGTGTTCTTGGAACACAACAATATGGCTTAAGGGGCCTGACATAGTTTCCGAACTGAATGTGATTAAAATGTGTTGCAAAACCTTTTTTAGTCGTATGTTATCATCTGTAAACTAGAATGTTTTGTATTAAATCTGTCGGATTGAGAACTGACGAGTAATTACCTATCAGGTAGTAGTACACTGACTTTGGTGCCAGTGATTGCCAAAATCGTCAAATAAATTACCAAAACCATCATCAATCTTGTAGAGTATTATTCATCTCACGCATATTATATTTAGAGAGCTTTCTGACTGTTCCGCTCCTTATAAACTCGCTCTTTAATATAAAAAAATATGAAGAAATTTACACGGGTGATGGATCAAAGTGTGAGACGAAAATTGGTTATTTAATTGTTTGCACCGCATAATTCGTACTGCATAATTCGTGTCGATTTATTTGTCCATCCCATCGATTGCAGTCTTGAAGGCCCTTGAGAAATGTCGGAAGCCAAAGGATTATTACAATATATAAATATATTCGGATTGTACGGCAACTTTCAGTACCATCCAAAATGCATACTGAAAAAAACGAATTGATCCTATAACAGTTTTTCAACCACTTTATTAATGGAAATTACTCTGTTTCCGTCACAAAATGGATTAAGAGGGATCGGAAAGCGAAAGAAGGCTTTTATAAGGGAATATCTCCCGATAATAAAAAAGAACCTAAGGTAACATCATTATTCATCAAGAAAATACTCCTACTCTCACAAAATACTAAATGAATAATGGTTGAAATCTAATTCCAAACATTACCTGAATATCTATTTCACAACCAAAATAACCAAACCTTCACATGTCAAGAAAACCAATTGACTTTACGATAGGTGGTAGAGGATTTCCGAAAAATCCAATTTTCAATATCTTCGTGGTTTACTCGAACTTTGTTGTAACTATATTGTTCATACACTAAATAACTTAGTGGAATCTTAACCTCTTCAATGATTCTTGCGCCGGAGCACTTTCTTCATTTTATATCTTATTCGTCATCACAGTTGTTTCCTTCTGTTCTGAAAGACCCTTTCACCCTATTCACGATATCCTAGCTAGATCCGATTTCACTAGTTTTCAATTTGTTGAAATCTTCAGGTTGGGCAGAAATGCCATTGAATAGTTGAAGAAATTCCAATACTGGTAAGAATGCATGAATTCCTTTCATTTACTAGAAATGTAACTGCACTAATCACAAAAACGTGTGCAAATTATATTTATATTAGTGTTATATGAATACGCGGAACTGAGAAACAAATTTCCCCTGAAAGTTATATTTACTATGTTCTCTATAATCGATGTTGAGAGTGTTTTATAATTGAATCTTCTAATTCTGAATAATAGTTATGAATGTGGAGTTGAACCAGTGATTTTAGTTCACTATAAAGTTCACAATATTTGAGTTCTCTATATTTACAATTTCCAGCGTTAAATAGGAAAACAACAGTATAAAGTAAGATAATAATTATGTGCTACAAAGCGAGGGGGTGTTTAAATGGATATGTTGGCAAAGAAGAGGAAAAATACTTAATTGCTGAAGGTTGTTTCTTTATTGCATCAGCATGTCAACACGTGAAATTACATAATTTTAACACTGCTGAATCTGTTGTCACAACTTTTTTAAATAAGGGGGCCTTGGCAGAAGTTAAGATATAAAAGATCGTTAATAGTTTTTTTCAAATTATAATACTTATTAAAGATTGTATTCTCGAGGATGTTCTAGATAAACCACCTTGCCCTGAATTTACTTTTCAAGAAGCTCCTTGAAGCCTTGGCGTCTGGCCAAGCCAATTCTTGGTCACTCTTCTGACCAGTCCGCTGCAGAAGTGCAGACGCTCAAATTCATTCATGAGTCAGGTCAAGGAATCTGTTGGCTGTTTTCAAAGCTGAAAACCAATCGTGTAGTTTTCCTTTTTATTTTAGTAATACTACTTGCTCATTAATTGATTTTTACACAATAAATAATATAAAACTAGACGATAATTTTGAGACCTGTGTATTTTCCCAAAGTTTATTCTATATGTGTACCTTAACGTCGACGCAGAAGAAAAGTGACACTACAAAGAAATATGTTGAGAAACTAGTCTACTCTGTTAGTAACTATTTTACAAAGATACATCAAAAGACAGATACACACTCTGTCTTTGGTATATAAACTCAGGTCAAGAAATTTACGACTTGCTCAGATTAAAACCGTTCTGCAAAATTAGATGGTCACATTTCTTGTTCACCGGCGATGTTTAAAGAGACGAATGCATTTATGCTTGGTTTACCTTTGCTAAGGTGGTGAGAAGGGAGCGGGCCACTGGCACGGTTTCTCTTTGTGTGACGGGATAGTAAATACCATAGTTAAAGAGTACAATGTTTGAATATATAGCAGCTAATGCGTGTTAAAAGCAAAAATAATCCTACCATTTTCATCCAAAATTCTAGAGATACTATTGAAACGGCTTCTGAGCTGTTGACAGGTCACTGCTGAAAGTCCTATCACAGATACTAATAGATAAAATCATAACTTTGGAGGTAGTAAGATAGCCAACACTTTGAAAATGCAAATACCCACGGTAAAACAAAGACTCTTGCTCGACGCATCGAAACCTTCAGATATTAAGAAAAGGGGCGTCTACCCTGATTCCAAAATAAGTGGCAACGAGCCTTCACAAGCAGAGAACAGCCAACTGACGCAATCACTTGGCAGAGTGCGCATTCGAAATCATCCCGTGTGCCTTGCACGTGCCTGAGCTCACTACGGCACTGACATGGCGAAAGTCTTTCTCTAGGTAGCTCCAACGTCGCAATTACAGCATTATTGAACAACTATTACAGTCTTCTGTTGGAGTTGCGTGGGAGAAGATAGTGACATGCGAGCGTGGTGGAAGAACATTAGGTTTAGCTTAATGACTCTCAATGTTTATGGGTTGGTGGAAATTTTGGAGAGGTAAAAAGTCAAAAGATCAACATATAAACAGTAAGCTTAAATATTGACCAGGCAACTAGTTATTTAGCTTTAAGGACTACGTCTAATTATTTGTCTTTTTTTATTTATTTTCAAATTAGCCTCATTGATTTAGTACTTCGTGTGTTTTATAAAACATTCATAATCATGCAATAATGCATCAGTATGCAATGTGTTATGCCAAAATATTATTCATAGCTAATTTATTATTTTTTCTGTTTTCTATTTATCCATTTTTCTTAATTTTAGAGAAGCTTAATGTGTTAATAGTGCAAAATATTGTCTTCGTATGAATGAGCAATGTCTTTACCACTGTCGTATCATTGTACCATCAATGATGAACTTTTAGTTACTAGCTTAAGAGAGTAGCCAGTTTTAAGTTTCCAGATTAAAAAGACTTAAAACATATATGAGTTAATATCTAAAGATATAATGATGAGATGAATATAATGATAAGATGAATATAATTAATATTATAATGAAAGAGATGATTTGTAAACGGGAATAACTGCAAATGCTAAATGTAGAATCAGGTTTCAATAATCAACCTAAAGTGAGTACAACCAATATAGGAAGCCATTGAAGTCTCTTTACATGCTTAACATGATTTTTTCCTTTCCCGTATGCGTACGGAGTAATATACGTAGTATGGGGAAAGTTATGTAATGCCGCGAACAATCGATTTCGAGATTTCAACGGAAATACCCGTTTTGGGGTCCCTTGATACCGAAAAAGGGGTTCTTTACAAAACGTCTGTCTTTCCATCTATCAAAACCACTAGCGCCTAAACCATGCGTAAGATTTTTACCAAATAGAAGAAACCCTATCCATCTGGCTTGAATCTAAACTTAGCAATTTTGAAAAACTTTCTTCAAAATTTGGAGGTACTTTACACGAAAGCCTTGGTGCGTATTCAAAATTTTCTCAAAACGGCTCCATATTTTTCTTCACATTTCCGGTAAGATTAGAGTAAAATACACGTACAATTCCTTGAAATGAAATTTTGTTGTTCATAATGGCCATGCACATGTTCCGAAAATGTTTATCTTTTACGCACAAAATGTGAAGTTTTAAAAATTACAAAAACAAGTCTTTCTCAAAAATGGCTGCAAATTTTTTGAAAACTTTTGTTAGGGATAGAGAAAAGTTTACTCTATAAAAGCAACTTTGCTCTATTCTACTCTTATTGTTTTTTCAAAAACGCAAATTATTTTACGCAATTAATAGTTAATTTACGCAAAAAGTGTCAGCTGGCAGGAATGTGTGGCAAATTTGTTATAGCTAGTCGAGACTAAAGCAACGGATAATACGGGAAAGTCTGCACCATTCTGCAATACCACTAGATTTAAATTGGGTCCAGAATTTGGATCACCTCACTAAATAAATAAGTAGATTTTTGTTTTCGTGTACTACACTGATTGGTCAAAGGAGCGACGTAGGTGTTCTTGAATATATATATATATATATATATATATTATAATATATATATATATAATTTTATTAAGAACTAGCTTGACCGATGTAATTATATCGCACAATAGGAAGAGTTATGGAAAGGTTATAACAGAAAAGTACTACGTACACACTATAAGGAAAACCTAAAACCATAAAAATGTTGTTTCATGTCGTTCGGTACTAATTCTCCAAAGCTAATCAAATAGGGAAGGTTTAAAAATTCTGGAACAATACCATCACTATTCACTGGACACAGATTTAAACGTTAAAAAAATCCAATATTTACCATGTTTTCGTAGATCTGTACAAGTATACTGTAGTGGACTACAGTTGGGTACTCTGCTATCGACCAGTACAACTACGACCACCACCACTCCTTAGAGACATAATGCATGGCATATTGTGATCACAGAAAACATGACTTATTTGGATCACTGAACATTTTTCGTTGACGACTGCTGGACATTGCGTTTATGCACACGCACTAATCTTTGCATATAAAAACAATATTCGAACTTAATAAGTCTCGCTAACTTGGCTTCGTCAACTACTTGTATATCCCCATGATGTAGAGGTATGTTACCAAGACCTACTACAATTGTATTGTACTTCGCCTTGAAAATGACGTAATGGACAAATAACGGCAGAAATCAAGCGTTCATTCTATTAATTTTATATTATTATTATTGTTATTATTATCATTATCATTATTAAAATTTAGTTTCTTTTACTACAAAAGCAGTAAGAGCAAGTGATAACACATCTAGGGACAATTATCTTTCGTTTCAAAAATTATGAAACACTGTTAAGTAAAAAGTTCAAATTTCTTCTTTAAAAAAACATTCAGCGTTTTAAATACATAGATATACAACTCCAAAGAAAGAAATAAAGAAACAAAAAAGAGAAAGCACTAACTTAAAAAAAATTGGATATTAAAAAACCGTTCAAAACTAAAATTTTAGTCAAATTTTTAGGGGGAAGCAAATTATTTTCGCTTACTCCAATTATCCTATCAAAGATTCGAAAATGATTTTCATATTTAATATGTATTTATAGCATGAAATGTTGAGGTTATGAATACGTTTTGGCACCGAGGAAGGAGAATTGATAGAGCAGGTGATGATGGTAAAAAAACTATACGAAGCGGGAGGGAAATAAAAATTAGATAATTGAATACAGCAGAGAATGTGATGACAGTGCTAGACGTGAGGGAGAGAGAGATGTCGCGGATGAGGGGACTGAGATGTTGCTGAACTAGTAGCGTAGGTGGCGGCAAATGAGAGGCGGTGGCGACAGAGATTTCTGCGATGACGATGGATGGGCCTTCGTGTAAAACGCACAGGACGTATACTGCGATTTCTGAAAGTCTGCTCCTGGCAGGTATCCGCTGTTGACGGTATCATTCAATCGGGAGCTTTGAACGTCATCACAGTGACGTTCAAGCATGAACCGATTGGATGAATCCGTCAACAGCTGATACCTGCCGGGGGCACAGTTACGAAAACCGCAGGATAGTGATGAATTGGTGGTTGAGATGGGCGCGGAATGAGATTAAAAATTACCCTTTGAAGTTGATACCTTCCAGAACTAAGATCATTGAGATAATACTTTTGATCAACTTGGTACATAAATCTACCCCTCGATGGCGATCTGAGAACGATAGGCAGTAGATTGAAAATCGAGCGTCTATACACACTATCTTGCTCTACCCGCGGGATTGCGCACAGGGATGGCCACGTAGGCGCTAGCCCCTATTCGCATTCCCTTCCAATGCAAGAACACTTCGGGCAGGCATCGCACAGGAACGCAGTTACCCTTCACGGGAACCTCCCCAATTCACCCTGAGTCGTGCCATTTTGCCAGCTCTAAGCGCTCCTAGCTATCCAGGAGCGGAATTAAACGCCGGGACAAGTCCTTCCCCAATCGCCCGTAGAGCAGAGGCAGAAGCAACAGCGGCGGCGAAGACGTGTTCGAAGCGGAGAAGTGGCGCAGTCGGGCTGTGGTTGAAACCTCTCCCACGGAGCCGCCAGGGGCGGCAGCGTGGGGCCAGCCTCGAGGGACGACAGCACGTGAAGGCGCGCGCGCGCGGCACGCGACGGGCATCGATCGCGGGCGAAGGACGCGCGGGGCGGAAGCGTCGCCCCCAGGGCGTGGAGGATGGTGGAGGGGGAGGGGAGGGTTGTGTGGCCGGCGGCGGCGGCGGCGGCGGAGCGTTCCGGCAACCGCCAACGTTCGCTTGTCCTCCGTCGCGATGGATTTAGACCCCAGCAGCGCTTTCCTTTTGTTCTGCGCGCTGGCGGCCCGCGCGCCGCCGCTGGCCCGCGGCCCCCGCTGCTCCGCCGCCGCGGCGCACTACAGCTTCCACCGCCCGCCCCCGCCGGGGACCCTCGAGGACCTATTTTCTTACGTTCCGAACCAAATGAAGCAGTCAGGGGGCGATCAGAAGGAGGCTGGGGCAACTATCCGCTAGCCCCGACTTAATTGGTGTCACGATTTTGTTTCATTTAAAACAAAAATATATTTACTTCTAACTCAAATTAACCACTATACTTATTTCTGTTGCTTGGAGAGGTGAATTCTGTTTATGTGTAGGAGGAGAACTTTTGACAAAAGGGGTACTCTCCCAACTCCCTATTTCTACACCTTCCTTTTTTTCTGGCTGCCCCTGCGTTGCGTTACAGTTGCGTCAGTAACCTCTCCGAACTACATGTAGTATTATGTCCCGTGTGGTATCGATGTTTTATTCGTCTTGAGGAAGGTGGATTCGACGAGATGAGGTAATGAGAACACTTTAAAGTGACAGGGATTTTGGCGAACTACCATGCTGACATACCAGTATCTCTGGTACTTTATTTTTTTTCAAATAAAACTTTAAAAATTAACCTCATGTCTGGACGTCTGGCAAAGACAATTCGAGGACCATTCACGTTTTCCAACTGGGGTCTGTATTTGTACTACGATGAGTGTCGTATTTAAATTAACACAGCCATAATTAGCTACATTTCTGCAATACAGAGTACATGTATTAGAGCAAGGTCGAACCTGCGCAGTGTATGAGTTTCATTTGGTAATTTACTCTAACTTTCATTAATTCATGTAACTTAAGGTTACCTATTTCAAAATTGGTTTCCTCCTTACTAGCAGTTGTACATGAATTACCTTCGCATTGCATCTTCATGCTTTGTATCATCCTTCATAGTTTCATAATATGTGATGCGAAATTGTAAAAGTTCTTTAATTATTGGTCGCTAACGCGCTAAAAAGTTATAATTCTTTCAGAAGCAGATTATGGTGGTTTTTGCACTTTGCAGGTTTTTTTCGTAAGTTGATTACACTGATTAAGGAATGGAATACGGTTCAAAGATAAAGCGTTCTGATTAATTATTTCCACATTAACAATTCTTCTCTGCTCATGATTTCCATACCATATTAACGTCATGAATGTATTTATGGACCTGGTGGATCGAATTAAGTGGAGTATTCCGATCGTTAAAAGAAAGAAGATAGTTATGTTTTAAAAACGATCCTGAAAAGATTTTGGATGACATTTTTATTAGTACATGAGTGAGAAAAGTTGAACGTACTCGCGAAGTAGAACGTAATCGCGTCACCCTTAATGATTGAAAATCGTGTTCAATCTTCCTTGATGTTACATAAGATGAACTGCTAAATGTACTTGACCGGGAGATTTTGGCTCTATATCAGCCACATTTGGGAAGAGTTTCGTGAGGACTGTAATCCTTGTTGGAGCAACACTTCAGCTATCTTTATCTGTCCTTGCCCTCTGGCAAGTTCCAACCTCATTGTCAAGGGCAACGCTCTGTAAGTAAACCCTTGATCAAGTTCATAAATTTAGTGGATGTCTCCATGACGCATTGATAGACTATGTTACATTTCACTAATCGTAGCTTCAAACCTGGTTTCGTGACACTTTCTATGTAGTATGCGTGTCAGATACCAAGTGAAGTTGATTGAGAAATGCCAGGTTATACATAAGTGCTCACAAATATATTGCTTTCGAGTTTTATTTCTACTCAAAATGCATGAACGTAACAATTATAATCCATGAAAACTTGCAAGAATCTAATTTCCTCCCATGTTTCCTTCTTTTTGATATCTAGAAATGAGTAAAATACGAAAAATTACTAAAAAGAACTTAACGTAAAGAGAAATTAATCTTCTGACCCTGTGAATGTGTCAGGGTGGATCGTAAATAACCACGTATTACCCTATGTGTGGATCTTGACTAGCTATGGGGCCAGATATTGAACGAAAATTAAATTGTTCTTTCGCTTGTATCTTTCTCCTTGATGTTAAAATGTATTCTGAAACAAATTTACACTTTTAATATCACTTTTATTGTCGTCGAAGTATGAACAAAGGAAAGCAATAATCTATGAACTAAAAATACATAAACTTAATCGTTAAATCTGAACGCTGTAAGGCATAAGTTCACAGTAACGGCATACTGTTATGCGGTGCAGACTGCATTATTTTAAACTGCCATTTTCCGATGAGCTTTGTTTTGTTAAAGACATTTAAAAAAAGGAGAACAAACTTATTTTCCAACAATTGCATAAATTCTAATTTATTGAAGGAGGAAGTTTGTGTGTCATGTTGTAAATGTCTGTTTACTGAAACAAGAGTTTTTTACCTTGTAACATTGCGGAAATGTCATGAAAGACTGTTGCTTGCGTGACTTGAACAGTTTGCGTGTTGCAAAATACGGAAATAAGGAGCGCATTCGTCTGATAACGTAGCTGTTTCTTGGATTAGAACTGTCAACCTTCCGCATTCCCTAAATCGTGAAAAATCAGAAGACAAATGGCCCATTCGCTGGTTTCAAGTCGAATTTATGGCCTTTGTTCTGCCAGACGAAATACAAGAGATAATGAGATCGAATAAAAAAACACTGATAAAGAGAAATATTTTGAATATAACATTTTTTCGCTTTCATTTGTCTTTATTACAAATGTACTTAACTAAACTAAACGCAAATGTACATGCGAACACAAATAAATTCACAATGCATAAGTTTTCTGCAAATATTCTAGCAAACAAATCACCTTCACTGTTGCATAGAACAGTGGTTCACAAACCATTTCTTTCGCATTGGCAGAGTGTCAATGATTCCTGCTTTCTCATATTTCTAAGGCTCTTAGAAGAGGTCATTAACCATGACTTGGCAATGAATACTAAAGAGTCATAAGAGAAGTTTCTCTATCGTAATGTCCGACTTGTTGGAGTGAACACAAAGAGAAAAAATTAAGAATAGGAAAAGTGAAGGAGAGTGAACAGAAAATGAGGCACAGAGAAATTCGACTTTAAATATTCGATTAGTGAATAAATTATTAAGTTGAAAATTTTCCGCAACTGCGGCAGTTTCGCTTCGCTACGGTTATTAATTACAAAAGTGATGATGAAATTACCTAGATTTAAAGCATTATGGTTCTTGATCCCCATCCCTGCTCACTCTCGTGTCTATCGGTTTAGTTTCTCTTGATTCTTTAAGAAAATGCTGAGATGCTATCTTATTTTGCTTCTGAATATTATGCACATTTTTTCTCCCTCTCCCTAGTCACGCGTTTTTTTACTATTTTACTCGAGAGCCGATCCTAGTGGTAAGGGGCTTATAGCACTGACTTCTAAACCCGAGTTCACAGGTTGACACGCGTTTGGAGATTTTAGATTTTTAAAGGATGGAAAGTGCAGCATATCACACTCGTGGTGTATAAACGATACCTAGCTCAGTAACGGGAAGAATTAAACTTCCATAATTCTCGTTCCATCTCGATCCAAACATATTTGTTCACCAAGGAATGACACAACTAGGAAAAACATAAGGAAGATACCAATGTGTCCATGGCGGCGAACGTGAGAGTAAAAAAGTTGGCAGCGTTGTGCGCCTTTTATGTAAATAAATGAATAATAAATACGTAAATAAATATATAATAAATATGTAAGTAAATAAATGTATGGTAAAACAAATAATACATATTGCGACATCACAGAACGAGTGTCGAAAGACGCTGCGTGTTAAGTGATCAGCTTAGAGTAAAGAAGTACGTAGTTGTGCCTGATCATTGGCGAAGTAGACATAATTACATATTAACAAGTGCCAGTACAAATTGAAATAAGGCAATTATTTGAGCCAGTGACAAATCTTTCCTATCATTTCTGCAATTATTCTTTGAACGCGACCTTTTTTACAGAACATCAGTTTTATTACAATTTTAGACATAAACAATACTAACAGTATCACTTACTTGTGACAGATTTTATTTTGAATCCAATTTTATGTCACATAAAGTTAATGCTACCCAAACATTTTAGAAGATATACTTAATATTGATTACCGTAATACTGTATGCTGTTCCGAGAGTTACTTGAAACATTTGTGTTCGTAGAACAGTAGATTGTTTTGATTTCTTTACAAATAGTATACAGAATGAGTTTATTGAACATTCTTTCTCGATAAAACATTATATTCCTTATTACGAATTTAATTAAATTTTCTGAAAGGTGAAGTCGACCACTAGACAAAAATGTCTCAGTAACATTGAAATTTGTTTACAAGTGATGCCGATTTAATGTGTTTTATCTTTTCTATTTTATGTTGGATATTTTTGTCAATGAATAGTACTAATTGATGATATAGTTAACTTCTACTATGATTTTACGAAATTATCACTTAAAACTAGATTAAGCGATATTACATAAAACATTCAAAGTGGTTATTTACTAATCTACTAGATAGAACTTCTTAAACTGCATTTCATTTCACATTCGATAATTTATAATCGAACATTTATTAACCTTTCAAATATCATGAATAATTTATTTCCTCAAAATGTTTTCATGCCGACATGGAGACTGTATTTGCCCTTCTGGCTTAGAATAATAAATACTCAATAATTCATTAACTCTTCCGTATTTCTAGAACTCAGAATTGTATGCTTTGTATTCAAATTCCGAAGCACAGAAAATAAATCACTCTTTCTAAAGCTCGGAAGCCTGGCTTTTCTTTGCGGAACAAAGGTTTTGAATTCAAGGCAGGAATTTATCACATGTCTTCACTTCGTTATTGATCCAGTGAGACCAGGAGTGATTATTTTCTTACCATTTATTCGCCATTATTGAGAGGTTCAGATATACGCTTCTATTACTTTACATTTCCGAAAGCTTGCTTGCTTAACATTTTCGAAAAAAAGCAAGTTCTTGTCGAGCTATTTTTCGATTTTGAGACTGAAATTTTCAAAATGTCTTTACAGTGAAATAATGATCGCCCAAGGGAAGAATGTTGACAAAACTGCACTGTCATACTGTTGAAAAATATTGACAGAGAAACGAAAGGATCTCTGGGAGCGCAGTATAAGATTATTTAAAGCTATTTGGAAAGAAAAAGCGAGCTAAAACTGAGCCAGTTAAGATATCTTAGAGGTGACATAATTCGAAATCTACACAAGAGTAATGGATAGCAGAGATGCGTACATATAAAGACAATTATAATCAAATAATAATTAAAATATGCTTTGAAGGCACCAAATAATTACGTAAGGTATTTGTGGTGGTAGTTTTGGGTGCACTTATTGCATGTGTATTTTTAAATGAATTTGGCATGTATTCTGAAACACGCTGCAAATTACACCGCAGTTCTGGTTCATTACTTTGGGAAGTTCGACGCTTCGAAGGCTTTTCAGAGACCGTGTCAAGAAATTAACAGTTATGAGAGTAGACTTAATTTGAAATGGGATTTTAGCAACTTCCCAGCATTCCCACTATGGGGACGGTCGCTTATCTGACTACACCTTCGCGAAGTATGTTCATACAGTCTCAAATTGCCACACACGAGTCTCGCCTGTCCCAAGTCAAGACTCCACCCAAGCCGTGCTCGAGTGCAACCGCGAAAGGTCAGGGGCATTCGCCGCGGTTACGTGAGCGAGCGTTATCTCATCCACAGAGTAACGACCAAGTTAAGCCCCGCACGCGATTTCCGTGCAACAACCCGGCGTCGCTCGCGCGCCCCGCCTTTCACGAGGCCCCGGCACCGTCATCAATCTCGCAGCGACGGAAGGCGTCGAAGTGTCATGGCCGACAGCGGTTTCCATTATGGCGGCAGCCCTGCGCCGCTGCGTCGGGAACAAGCGAGGGGCGGCGGAGGGCGCGCGGGAGGGCCTGGCGAGCACAATGGCGGCGC